ACTAATACTTGTTTCAGACTAGCTTATGAAAGTATGAACAAACCCAACAATTATCAAACAAAAGCTGTAATCTTTTATCATTCTTTAGTCAGTTGGCAGTTAAGTCATAGTAAAGCAGCATTTATTTAAAAAGAAAGAGAATAAAAAATCATAACTGTTTTTCATTTTATTGGCTTTACTTACCATTTACTTACCACATACCATTTTCTTAGTGTCGTAAGTTTTTGACAGCTATGGTATCCTAGTCTGATTTGCATTGATGGAAATCAGAAAAGAAAGAGACCAGTTGCCATATAGAATATGAAAAATAATTATTAAACTAGTAATATATTTAAAATATGTTTTAAAAACTGTTTAGGAATGCTAAATATTCTGCAGATAGATGGAACTATGTGTACTTCCTCCGTGATGCTTTGGATTTTTTTTTAATAAAGGTATATTTCTTATGGTTAGATTTTTCAATTAATTGCTGATGACCTGAAAATACACTCTCTGAAGCTCAGACTCTCTTGCATGTAATATGGCATTTAAACTAAAAAGGCAAGAAATCAATTCAGTTGTTTGTGCTGTAATTGACTGAATAGCAAATGTGACACAGGATCTTGAAAGGTCAAAATAAGAAATATGCCCAGAACACTTATTTGTAAATAATTTTCACCAGTTTTTAATCAAAATTTGATTAATAATTGAATTATACCTTTTATTTCATATTTTAAATAATTTCATTATCTGGGCACATCTTTGTATTTCTGTTAAAATCACTGTATATTTTACATACAATACTGGATTTAAAAATCTAATTCGCTTCTCGAATCACAGATTCTGGAAAAGTGTGGCTTGCAAGGAATAAAATGAGGGTCTTCATAGTATGAAGCTATGGTTGAGGGGAAGGCTAATGTTTTGGGAAGCAAGCTGCTTCATCTGCTTTGGGTGCCTGGACCATGCTGTGGCAGGGTCAGCTGGGCAGGAGGGAGGTTTTCTGTGTCCCTTGGTGGCCTCTGCACTGTGCTGTGGAAGGCACCTGCTGCTGACAGGCACTGCAGAAGCACTCTGAGCACACAAAGAGCGAGGCTGGTGCACCTCTGATTCCAGCTCTCTGGTTCTTCCCTGCTCCTGGCTTGCAGGGAGAATTCCCCAGAGACTTTTCCGCTTCAAATTCTTCACTGTCTGACAGTCTGTGGCCCCATCTCCTGAGTTGCCAGGGGCCTCTGCTGTGATTCAGGGCAGAGGAGAGTAATTACCCAGCACAGTAAGGAGCCCATCCACCCTGAGTGCCCTCTGTCCCTGCAGCACAGGCATGCACTCACTCCAGAGAAAGGAGTTGCCCTGTTTCCCTGGCCTCAGCCACCACGCCGTGCTTGCTGCAGCACTCCCTTGCTTTTTCCAAATGCCACCTTTACACTTGGCCCTTATCTACACTCTGGACTAGAACACATCAACAGAAGTGTATTTTTTCTTCCCATTTGTCTCCCTGGGGACTTTCTCTCACTATCAGGTCCTGGCAGTAGAGTCTAAGATCAAAAATGGGCTCTGCCTAACCTGGTGCCATGGCTTGTTTCACGTCCCCATTACTTTGGTGCCCAGGGTCCTGCAGTAGGGGTCCTGTGTGGATCAAGGGCTTTGCCATGGAGAGTGCTGCCAGGTTTTGATGGGACACCAGCTGTACCAGTCCCTCAGGGAATGAGGGCTGACTCCTACCTATTTTCTCAAAGAGGATAATGCTAGTATTGAAAGGATATAAAGGTGAGAAGAGAAAAGACGCATAAAAATGGAATAGGAGTAGAACATATGCATTAGTCAGCCTTTTCAATGAATAATAAAAAGCATTTTTATGAGATTAAATTCAAGTCTTGTGTAAGTGAAAGAGGGATACTGTACTTGCTTTCTGTAAGATACTGATTTTTATCTAAGCAGCCTTGCATTCTCTAAAAAAAACCACTAAAAATTTGCACAAATGTTGACATCTCCAAACCTACCTCTTCTAAATTTTTTTAATAATCTGATAGCTCCTTCTTATACACTAGTTTGCTTTCATTTTGAAATCACCTGTTGTTGACTTTCTTTCTTTCTTTCTATGGTTGTTTTGTTTTATTGTTTTGCCCTTCAAACTGCCCTTCCCTAAAACTTCTAAAGATATTTTCTCCTCTACAAAGAACTTCAACACTGTTTGGTATTCTGCCTTGTAAAAAATAAAGTACAAAACAAAGCACATTAAAATATTAATACTTTGTTGTCACACTTTTTAAAGATTGTACTGTTGGGGATAAAAACAGGCACCAGCATGAATGTAAAGGAGTAATAGTGGAAAGATAAAACAACAACTTATCATGCTGAAAGAAATCTTTCTTTACTACGTGTTTGGAGAAATTCATTCATATAGACTTAATAATTCCTTTGCAAGAATTCGTGAAATCTCTCCACCTCTCTTTGTTCCCTTAGTCTAAATGTTCCCATATTTCTCTGGATGTTGTACTTGGGAAATAAAGATTTCCCAGTATATGCTCATATCAATAAACATATTGGATGAACTGAATATATTCTGTAATCTGCTTCATACAGCAGTTCTGCTAACAGGATCTCATGGTTTCCTGAGCTTATAAGATATGTGAAGCATCTGGCTTTGCTAAGAAAATGAGGCTAAACTGTAGATCTTTCTTTATAAAGCATGAAAGCAGTGTGGTGCAGCTAAGCTACTGTCAGAAAAGTAACTCTCTTCCTTAAGATAACCTGTCCCTTTTCACAGGGACCTGCTGTTTGCCACTTAGATAGGGCTCACTAGATACAGGCTGGAGTTTTTCAAGGGGAGAATTCAAAAATTCTGCTCTGTGGCTGCAAGCTAAGGCAATTCTCAGGGCCTTGCCCTTTAACTTATCGTATCACTATAGCTGAATTAAGAGCTGACCTGGCTCAGATCTTTGACAGTAATCGCGCGTGAGCAGTTTGGCCAAGATCTAGTGCTGGACTTTCTGCCAGGTCACAGGGAGAGAAACCTTGAGGTCTTTTCATTTCTTACATCTTACCTGTGCAACAGAAAGACAGCTTAGTCAGTGCTGAACAAATGCCATGATCTGACTAAGGATTTATACACCCCAAGGGAAATGTCCTCTTTCAGACACTGTGGTGTTTTGGGGAGTCCTTTCAGACTCTAGAGACACAGAAGTCAGTGGAAGCCCTGCCACAAATTGCAGGGTCCATTCCCTTGGCATCAACCTTGCAGAAATCCTCTGTGTTGCTCCTACTGGGCCATCAGTAGAGGCACTCTAGGAGAAACCCCTTTGAGCCAGCTCCAGTTACTCAGTTATCCCATCTCTTTTGTGGGCCAAAACTAAATGTCTTCTTTACTGCTTCACTCTTCCATGGAACTCAAATGTATTAGTTAAAGCAATTATAAGGCTTTGTCAGAGGCATCCCTTTTGTATCAAAACCAGTGTCACAGACACCTAGGCAATTCCTCTGTGTGGTGGTTCTGGTTTAGAGTGCACCCTTTCAGCCAGACAAGTGTCTGCTCTGTCTGAAGTTCAACATGATAGAGAGGTCAGGAATAAGCAACAGTTACTGTTACTGCAGGGGCAGAGCTTAAGTGGCCACATGTTCAACTAGAAACTCACATAAGAGCAGAGCAAATGACATGAAGCTGTGTCAGAGGAGCTTTGGATTGGATATTAGGAACAAGTTCTTTATCCAGAGGGTGGTTGGGCACTGGAACAGGATCCCCAGAAGAGTGGTCACAGCCCCAACCTGACAGAGTTCAAGAAGCATTTGGACAAGGTTCTCAGGCACATGGTGGGATTCTTGAGGATGTCTTGTTCAGGGCCAGGAGCTGGACTTTGATGATCCTTGTGGGTCTCTTCCTATTCAGGATATTCTATGTTTCTATGATAACCGTGGAACTTTCTTGTCATTTTAACATCTTTGAGATGATTTTTGCTTTTCAGAAGGTGGCTACACCACCCTGATTCACCTACCTGTCAACACAGCTGGTTGGGTTTCTTGTGGCTGCCAGCCCCACTGGCCCAGGCTCCCCAGTCAGGGAGGCAGAGGGGCATTGCTGTCAGGGTGAGGTCAGCCTGCTCTCCTGAGTCCTGCCGGTGCAGCCCAGGCTGGGGGGCACCCAGCTCCTCCCTGCTGCCCTGCTGAGGGCTTCTTCCTTGCAAAGCTTCCCTGCAGGGCAGCTCAGGACATCGAGTAGGGTGACAGATTCCAGGAGGAGGAGGGGACAGGAGACGCAGGGGGGACCATCCCCTCTCTCTGCTGCTGCTGCTGCTGCTGGAGCTGGGCTGGAGCCGGAGCCGTCGATGTGGCTCCCCAGAGTTAGTTGCTCAGCAACCAGAATCAATTAATATGCTTTGCAGAAAGTGCAGGGAAAGCCCGAGCTGCTGTCAGCCAGCAGGCGGGAGGCTGAGGGTGACTCAGGATCCCACTCCTGCCTGACACCCATTTGGTCCCACCCCATCTTCTCCAAACACTCCGTTCTTTTCCCCTTTCTCCTTCCCTAGGGTACTTATGCATGTGTCCCCAGATTCTTCAGGCAGAGTACCTCGTTGCTCAAGAAACCTTCTGATTCAAGGCTTTTGCTTTTAGAGTCTGATTTGTATTTTTTGGTTATTTGTCAGATTTTCTTCAACACTTTTCTAGAAATTCTAATATTCGTGTTCTTTGGGAAGGGAAAGGGGATAGCTGGTGTTTTTGTCAGATGATTTTAAAGATGTCTCAGGATGAAAAGGGTTGTTTGGTAGTACACAGTTGAGCAGCAGCAATGAAAATGCATCATGTGTAAATTGGGAAAGTTTTTGCCTCTTCCTTTGTTACAGATGATCAGCACTGCATAAAGGAGACCAAAGAGGTAGTACTGATTGTTGTGAAACACCTAAATAATAGAATAAATGAGGGGGTGTTGTGGGATTTTTATATCTTCTCCTTTTCAGTGTAGTAATAGGGCTTTGGTAAGGTATTATTTTCTTTTTTTCTTTCTTTCTTTCTTTCTTTGATTTTCTTTGGAGTCCCTCTGATGACAGCGCGAATCTGGGAATGAAGAACTTCTCAGAGCTGATTGGAAATGGCATTGCGGAGCTGAAACTTAACTGGAGGAAATATATCTCCTGAAGAAGAAAATATAATGCACTGTAAGGATCTGTCTTCTGGTGAAAAATTCAAGCCTAGAGAAAACTTGTCCGCTTTGTTAGGAAGAATGGGTTGGACAATTTTCTTCAATTCCAAAGGATATCTGAATGCCATGCTGAGCTTAATCTCTGCAGCATGCTCTGTGCTTCTCATCTCTTCCTGATGCACTGCATGGTAAGGCCTTTTTCCTTTCTTTTAATAATAACTATCTGATGTGGTGAAAGGTATAAAAAAATAGCAATAGTGAAATGAAAATTGAAAAAATGTAGAAACGTGACAAAAGAATGTTTGCTTGCATGGTTGTTCTCAGGAGCAAGTGTCCTGATTACTGCAGCAGCTTTGCAAGATCATTTCTGTCTTTCTCCCTTGCTTTGTGACAGTGTGTATGTGTGTGTGTCTGTGCACACCTGTGCTGTCATCTGCACTTGCACTGGAACATCTGCAGCTGCACTGTACATATTTCCATGCTAAGGAGGATGTTTAGGAATTTGTTTTGACATTTCTCTCTCTTCTTCCCTCCCTCCTTCGCTCCATTCCCCTCCTCCTGCCTCCTCCTTCTCTTGCTCTGTCTGTTTCTCTGGGGTCATGGTTCTATACCTTCCCTGCACCTCAGTCGTGCACTGACCACTAGAAGGCAAAAATGGGAGGTAAAAGAAATTCTATATCATGCAAGAATGAGTAATGTTATTTTAGTAAATGAAAGCTACAGAAAGGTTTTGAATGTCTGCAATACTGGCAGGTACAAAAGATTTATTCTATTTTGTTTCCATGGGAAACAACTACCAAGTGCAGACTTGGATGCTGTGTTTTAGAAACAGTGGGAGAGACATCCTCTTATGCAAGTCAGGAAGCCGAAAATGTGAATTATTACCCAGGTCATAAAATAAACAAATCCAGTGTGGGATGTTCTCACATCGAGTAACTCTTGCTGTGTATTAGAGGAGTGTTCAGAATTATTAGAAATACCTTCAGTGGGCATTGGAAGGTATTTTTTGTTAATAGCTGTAATGTGGTTTTGTCTTCCTGGATGAAGGGTGCTAGGGGAGTGCAAGGAGATGTAACTACCTGACTTAAAAAATACTTAGGGTCATTGTCAAGAAATTGCCTAGCAGATCAGGAATTGCACAATTAATAAACTGGGATGGAAGAGCAGATTTCTTTTCCAGGAAGTCTGGTTTATTTGGGTCTCTGTTTTAGAAATTAGGGAGAACTAAAAGGTGGTATACCACTATAGTGGTAATGTGAAACATATTTATTTTCTTATGCATCCTGGTTGATCACTGAGTTTGGAAAGTTGAGTGGTTCTTGAGTAAACTGTGGACCTGCCTCCACTCTGAGGGGAAACCCTTGGAAATCTGACTGCTTCTGAAGGAGCTGGAAAAAGATCAGGAGCAGGTTTGTGTGGCAGCTGCCATGGACTGTGCAGCTGGGTATGGAGAGGACAGGTTCCTGGCAGCAGGTTTTCAGGATGGGAAGGATAAATAAAGCCAAAAATACAAAAGCCAGGCTACAGCAGGACTCAAGAACAAGAATCAGAGCTTAAATACAATTCAAAAGATGTAATTTTGTAGTATTTCCCAATAAATCTCCTCCTTATATGATGGAGGACTCCATAAGGCAGTTTTTAAAGAGAAAATGGCAATGCAACTTCTTCAAATCACTGTAGCAGGAAGAAGCACAGAGGAAAAAACACATTGTAGTGTGACAATACTTCAACAGGGTTCAGAGGAATCAGCCTTGACTTTAGGAGTAAAGGTTCAAATCACACATACATGTGCACTGAAGCAGAATTTTTTGTGTATTTTACTATCTAAAATGCGTGACTACTGTAAGAACCAATAAGCAAAACTAAGGAAGAACACAACCCATAAATGTCATCTTCACTGTCAGAGAGAATCTCTTTCTTGTAGAAATCATCCCCTCAACTCTCTATGTGAACAAGAACTGCATCCTACATTCAAGTTGCCTGTTGCAAACCTGTCCTCACATCAGCAGTTCTATGTCAATCAGTGGAACAACTTGCATGAATATTATTGTTTAACCCCAGCTGGAAGCTAAACACTGCAGGGCTGCTTGCTCACTCCCCTCTGGTGAGGGGATGGGAGAGAGAACCAGAAAAGCACAAGTGAGAAAACTCATGGGTGAGACAAAGACTGTTTAGCAGGTAAAGCAAAGGCCACACACACTCAAGCAAAGCAAAACAAGGAATTCATTTACCACTTCCCGTGGTTCAGTCACCTCTGGGAGAGCCAGTCTCCATTGTCTGTAATGGCTACTTGGGAAGACAAATGCCATCATTTTGAACATTTTTTCTCCCCTTTTCCTTTGTCTTTCCCCTGTTTTATATGCTATTTCATGTGTTTTATATGACACTATATAGTACAGAATATCCCTTGGGTCACTTGGGGCCATCTCTACCAGCTGTGTTCCCTCCCAGCTCCTTGTGCAGCCCCAGCCCAGTCTCTGGTGGGGTAGGATGAGAGGCACCAAAGGCCTGGGCTCTGTGAAGGCTCTGCTCAGCAAGAGCTAAAACATCTCTGTATTGTGAGTATGCTTCTAGCACCAAACACAACCTCATACTAATTACTAGAAAGAAAACCAACTCTCTTCCAGCTAAACCCAGCACATTATTCCTTATTCTACACCATTTACATCATGCTCAGGTACCACACTATCCAATACATCCTCATTAACCAACCCCGCTTTCCATCTTTATATATAGCATGTAGATAATCACTCCCTTAGTCTATGGACCACCCTTATAAAACATCCAGAAATGTCCACAAAATCTCTATTTAGCCCATGTTCATTTAGCCCATGACTTTGGGCTCCATCTCTTACAGCGGTCACTCGGAATGGGAGAGGTCAGAACTAGCACAGTGAGTAAGAACTACTCATGTGGATAAATTCTAAAAGGTTTTGTAAGACCAGGCTCTTTGTCATGGCAACAGATTTATTAGGCTTCAGGCATAATTTGGATTTTCCCTCTAAACAAAATCATTTTTCTTTTTACCTATGCAAATCTTTTGCCTTGTAATTAGAGCAAGAAAAATAGGTTAATTACATTCTTAAAGATCATGTAACTGTACAGATACATTGTTAGAGAAAAATTATCAGAGTATGCAAAAATTTACCTTTATTAGTGGCTTCCAAAATGAAGCAAAGTGTATTCTTATTGGAAACATTCATTGCCTTATTATTTTTCTGATAGTATTAACATTGCTACTGGGTATTGTCAATTTTTCCAGGAACCCATCCTGGGTTCATTTGAAACATCACTGAATTACAAAATACTCTCTATTATTAGGTTCAAGGATACTTACCCAGCTTTTTACTACATTAAATATGTTCATTTTTTAGTTAATACATGATGTTTAGCTCTTTAGTTGATCCAGGAACATTTATCTTTACAGTATAGAAACACAATATGAAATCATAATTATAGTAAACTTCCTACAGAATGTAGATATATATTGAAATAGGAAGGATAAAATCATCTGGGTTTCATTTCTCTGTGCAATTTTGCATGCTTATAAATGTCTATATTATTAGGATATATATTACATAACAAGCAATATTTAATTAATTGTCATTTGTAAAGAACAGTTGCTTTTTGCATAGGATTTATATTCCACAAGGTTATGCATTATGGTAGAATGAAAAATAGTTAAAAAACAAGCATAGCAGCTTAATATGTATCCAGTACACTAATGCAGTAATAAGTTCATTTTTTTATTTTATCCCTGTGATGAACATTCTGATAATAGTGGATTCTTTTCTAAAGAGTGTGTATTTTGAGAAGGGTTTACATGATGCAGGGTGTTCATTTTCTTTAGCATACATCCCTGCCCATGATTTGCTGTGACTTAAGACACTTTAGTGACATTTAAAATAATTTTAAAACTTGCACAACAGCTGCATTTGGCTTTCTCTGTCAACTCTAAAGCACGTAAAATTAGTAAATTCCTTTTCTTTTAAGATACTTATAGTAAAAGTTTGATGCTGAGAACATCTGTATTTCATTTCAGTCCATTGGACTATTTCTTTAGATAAACAGTATTAATTAAAGCTTGAACCATCTGCATTGTCAGGGAAGTTATACTGAGCAGTGAAAATATTTCCCACACCTGCAGTAACTACTTCCAGTCAAGAAAAATGTGGCACATAAGTATTCCCTCTATTCCTGAAAGCTTTGAGCTGTCTTGATTCAAGATCCAGCAGAAACCTGATTTTGCAAAGGCCTGAAAAAAATCCAAAACAAATCCCAAATGAAGCTTGAAGTTTTGACATTTAAGTGTAAATGTCCACAGAAAGAATGTTTCTTGGTCAAGCAATTTCTATAGATCAGCATCTGTGTTTTACATAAACCAGAATCAAAAATTGAATTTTTTTAAAAAATGAGAAGTTCTAAAAATTAATATGTTTGGAAATGCTGATGTCAAAATGACACAAGATTTCATTTTGACATTTTAAATCAGACTTCCATTTGTTACAAGAAATTGTACTGATATCTGTTTTTCTGTTTTTCTCAGTGAAATTTTGCAACTTTTTTTTTTTGTTTTTGTTTTAGCGGGAAAGTGTTTTGTTGTGATTTTTTTCACTAAATCTCTTATAGCTGTCCCCAAATTTATTGTCTCTCACAAGTCATTCCTTTAACTGGAAGCTTTCTGAAGGGTCATCTTTAGCATTACATATTGCCCAGCCCCACATTGCTGACACTGAGCAGCAGTTCTCACCAGGCCCATGGCAGAACATGATCTCTGATGGCGATTCCCTCCTTTAATTCTTCTTGTGTCTTCAAAAAATGCAGGCTTCTATTTTTCTGAGTTTTACAGATTCCAGAAGTAGTGCTTTTTACTACAAAAGCCTTCAAGAGGCCTTCAAAAGGCATGCAGGAAAGAGTAGAATTAATCTAGTATTAATATCCTTATTTAAATAGATAAAGAAGGGAGCAACAAAGAAAGTGCCCAAAGCTATACTGGCAAGGGAAGAGTTCGGAATTGAACCCAAATGTCCTTATTCTCAGTTCAGCACAGTCCCTGCAAGGTTGGTCTTCATTTTGTTCATTTCTTTGCTTAATGGCTTATATTTGGACTTTTAAGTTAATACTAGCTGAAGTATCAAATGTGAAAGGGAATTACTGATGCATACTTCCTTTCCAGTCTGACACAGTT